CACCTGGCACTTCAGGGCCTATCCCCAGCCAAGGCCCATGAGCCCCTTGCTGTGGACCTAGGAGGACTCCTCTCCATGGGGAGCCCCAATCAGATGTGTCTTGGCTGCAGGGCCCAGGCAGCTGGCCAAGAAGGGCCGGAAATGCTCCAAATACTCTCCTTCCTCCAATAGCTAAGGGGAGGGAGGCCCCTCAGAGAGGCCATTTTATAGTGATAGCCAGACTAAATCCTTTGCTTATGGGGGGATGGGAAATGGTGGGGAAGGAAGTACTTCTGAGGGAACCAAGAAAGCATCCTTCTACGTGAATGGGCTTGTTAAAACCCGATTGCCTGAGAGCTTGCCTTCTGCCGACTCCTAGGCGGATGTGTGAGGAGTTCCTTTGCTGGGACACGAAGCTGTGTTGTTGGCAACGGTGATATCTGAACCTGACCTTCAGAAGAGGGTTATAAATAGTGTTGTCCTGGCAAAGCCAATCTTCATCTGTGTGTGTACGCGTGTGTGTGCGCGCAGACCTGTACATGCACAAGCTTCTTAAGAGGCAGAGGCAAATAGCGTCCCCATCTGGTGCTTCTTGGGGGCAGCGGTGGTAGACAGACGGAGAGAGGGCACTGTTTATTTCAAGTGGAGCAGCCTCACCTGCTTTCCTGTTATTTGTAGAATATTAGCCAGGGTGTTTGCAAGCTGGGAAACAACTTTTGTAGTGGATTTGGAAGAAGGTAGGGGCTGTTTAGACTTCGTGAAACCTGCTCACGATCAGAGTCCTTTGGCACCTCGCTCACAAGTCTCCTCTGGAGCTTCAGCCACATGCTGGGAGCGGGAGGGCCCCTGGTCCCCTGTTGTTGGTCTCCCGCAGTGAGGTCACAGTGTTGCTCACTAGTGGTCATCTCCCTTTAGATGATTAAAACGAGCACAGCATTGAGTTGTAGAGTTTGCGCGGCACGTTGCCGTGCGAAGGGCAGGTTTTGTTTCTCCCTTCACTCAGGAGGGAGGTCTTGGTGTTATCCCAGGTAGTGGATGAGGAAACCGAGGGTCAAAGAGGCTGTACGTCAGAGTCAGTAACTGGCAGGGTCTGGCCTCCAGCCCAGGCGATACTCGGAGCGGGGGTCCCTGCCATACCCCACCTTCTCTTCACACCCTGCCTTGGCAGGAAGCCTTGCACCAGTGAACTGGAGGAGTGGCTTGGCTTCCCTGTTCTCAGCCACCTGCTCGCTTTCTTCTTAAGCCAGAGGTCCCCTCATTAGGTCTGTGCTGGTCCTCTCCGACGCTCAGGCCCACACCAGATGTTTGGAGCAGGGAGAGCAGATGCGGGTCGGTGGCCGGGCAGGAGAGGAAGGCTGGGTGTCCACAAAGCGGGTAGCAGAAGGAATGAACGAGGGAGAGCAGCTAGTTATGGGGCTCCATGGCACCCCCTGGAATCCTGCCCTCCCTGTTTGGGAGACCGTGTGCAATGAAATCCCCCCAGGGACCTGGAAGTCCTCTCGTGCCCCATGTTCCCGGCCCCGGAAGGGGGTTTAGGGGCCCCTGGCTGTCAGGGGCATAATACTGAGTGCCGGCTGAAAGGAGCCTCTGAAAGACTCTTTGACACAAGTTTCAGATCCCACTCTGATGAGTGTTCCCCCTTACCCTTAAACCCACTGAACAAAGCAGGTCTCGGGCCAGAGGCCCCGTCTCCAGCCCTTACCCTTCTCCCTCCACCATTGTCCTCTTGATTTCCCAGAGGTATCTGTCAGAGCAGGTACAGGACTGGGATGGGGGTGAAGCGAGCCCTGGGGTGGAATCCCAGAGCCTTGCACCTTTCATGGCCTGCCCAAGAGGACAGTGAAGGAGGGGGGTGGGCCCCAAACTAATCCTTTACCATCCTAGCCTAGAGAGGAGTAGAACAAACAAGCGTCCCTGCTGTCATATGAATAAATGTACACGATGCCCCCTGTCAGGGGCCCTGTGGGGTAGTGGGTAAGAGCTCTGGCTCTGGGTTAGCAGATCTAGGTTCAATGGCTCTGCTCTCATACTACCTGTGTAACCTGGAGTAGTTGCTTAACCTCTCTGCTTCAGTCTTGCTTCTGTAAAACGGGGCATTAGTGCCTACAGATGGGTTTGTAGTGAGGATTAAATGAAGTAATGGTGTCAAGTGTCCTAAGAGAGGGCTGGCACGTCATCAGTTCGTGGTAAACATGACTAAGGCACGGAACAACGAACAGGATTGCCTCAGGTGCTCCGCTCCTCCAGTGCCTGCCTCACTGTCCTCACATAGAGAATGCTTTTCTGTTTCTAAGTCTTCCGGGTTGTTGCAAACCAGCGAAGGCTTCCACGGGGCCGGGCTCCGTAGTAGTGACACCCAGGGCCCTGGAGTTCCCGCAGTTGTTCACTGAGCCAGTCACAGTTACTGAGTACCTGCTGTGCAGAGCTCCAGAGGCTGGTGAATGCTCTCGGCCAAGGCCATTACAGGCCCCATCAGGAGGCAGCCATGTTGAGGGGAGGCTAAAGAGGCCCTGATAGATTCTCGGAGGCAGTGTTGGTAAATATAAGGAGGCTAAAGAGGCCCTGATAGATTCTCGGAGGCAGTGTTGGTAAATATAAGGAGGACAGACAGCCTGGAGAAGGATTGAGGGAAGTAGGGCCCCAACAGAGGGGCATGCGGGGTATTGACCTTGCTGCTGTGGGCCTGGGATACCCTCCCCAGGCGCCACAGCTCTGTGCTCTGCTCCAGGTGCCTGCCCCCGAGGTCAAGGCATTTGTGGTCCCTGAGGCCCAGGGGCTGCCTGGTCACATTGTGTTTTTGAGAAGACCTTCATCCCCTGCTGAGTCCAGATGAAGCTGAGGAGCCCTGCCCCCCACCCCACCAAGCTCTGCGTCTAAGGCCCAAGCGCCTCTGCCTGTTGGGCCTCCCACAGTGGGCACCGGCCAGGCCTCTCTGTGGCCCCAGCCAGCTGCCCCTTTCACCCCCCTGCCTCTTAAGATTACTCAGCCTTCACATCGTCTGTCACTAAGATGCTGACTGCGTTCTTGACGGCCTCTCTTCAGGAAAGGCTCGGGCTGTGTGGCCTTTTAAGAAAGGCTCCATGCCCGGGTTAAGCCTCTGAATGTGGTTCTGCGTGAAGAAACCATAAACCAAAGGAAAAGTGATGGTTCAGCTTTGGTCTTGGAGCTTTGTGTCAGCGTCTGCTGGAGTCCCCGGGCTCGGAATTGAATGTGGGCCATACAGGCAGGTGGAGAAGCCGCCCTTGCCCTCTGATTCCTGCATAGATTATTAAGAGTAGGAAAAAGTCCAAGGAGTCAGGCATCCTGCTCTTTAGTACTGGGCTCTGCTCTGAGGTTTGTCTCTTTGATACAGGGGCCGTGGTGGGGGTGTGGTGAGGGGGCCCCAGTGCAACTTCTTCCTTTTATCACAGAATCCCCAGTCCCTGGAAATCTTGCTTTTTCCACTGGGGCCAAGAGCTCAAGAGTGATCCCCGGGTATGTAGGCGAATTGCCAGGGAAGCCTGATCACTTACTGGAAGGTTTCTAATGATCATACCAGTGTCAGGGGGTCTGGCCTCACCCAGGGAGGGAGAGCGAGCTCTGAAGGGCAGAGATGCCAGCCTGTACCTGCAGGAAGCCCTCTGCTTCTGTTGAGTCGGAGGGAGTAGGTTGGCCGGGGCAGTGCCGGCTGCCACTTGACTGACTGCTGTTCAGCGGCCATTTCCTCACCCTGGGTCATGAGGAATAGAGTTTGGTTTTCTCTCCTCTGCAGGGTTCCAGGCGGCTGCAACTGGGTATTAAATGGCTGTCCCACCGCCTCTCTGCAAGGGCCTCTGTGCTCTGACGACTAACCCCTACCTTGCTTTGGGGTGGGCCCCACCTGCTTGCCTCCCCCTTGCCTTCGTAAAGGGAACAGCCAGAGGAGGGTTGTCCTTGGTGCCACATTCTGTTTGCCTTTTTAACCCCCCACAAAGACAAGCGTTTCCAGATTCATTTTGTTTCCTGCACTGTAGTTTGCCCCATGCTTTATGGTGAAGTGGGCTGGGTTTAATCCTCAGCCCCTCCCGCCTAGGTGGAGACCTGTGGCTGGGGACCAGTCTGGCAGCAGTTATGTGGCGCCACCTCCTGGCCACAGGACCCACCGTGTCTTCCTACACTTGCTGAACAGTTGCCAGAACAGTTCCTGTAAAAGCAAGAGGCACTGGAAAGATACCCTGAAGTCCATTTCTGGTTGATCCTGTAATGCCCATAGCTTTTTGTATCAGCTTGGCTTTTCTGGGGCTGCCTTGCTGAGCGTCCTGTTAACATGGCTTTGTATATCCAAAGCCTGAGTTACAAAGGCTAGACTGATGGGGCAGCTCTGGTCTAGAAGCAAGGCCGTTAGCTTAGAACGCGACACCAGGTGTGTTTCCCAGGGGTCAGCGTGCCTGTGCTTACGGATCAGGCCTTGTGCCTTTGAGGGGAGAGCAGCAGGGACAGTGGCTGGGGCAGTGAAGGAGGAGCACAGCTTCTTCCTTGGGCTGCAGCTGTTCTGTTTTCTAGCCTGTTGTTTCCAGTCTGGCCTCAGTCCTGCCACCACTGACCCAGCTTCTAGGGAAGCTGACCCTGAACAGAACCACAGCTCCACTGACTTGCAGGGGCCTAGGTTTCTCCCTCGTGTAGAACGGCTAGTTCTGCGAACTGGGGTTGGTCGAGGAGGATTTTTGCGCTGGTGAATTTTACTTCTGAGGGTTCCTTCAGTGTGCCGCTTCCAGAGTGCAGGACACCTGGACTCGATACCTGGTGCCCCTCCCGACCAGGGAGTGAAGACCGAATCCTCTGCAGCTCATTTCCTAAACCAGAGAGTGGGGATTCCTGCTGCCTCTGCTTTAGAGAACCGTCAGAATAAGCGTGTGTGTTTCAGTGTTGACTGTATTTGGCGATCTGCCCAGCACGTGGCTTGGGCCCTGGTGGGGCTTCCGGACTGGAGGGGATACGGGCACGGGGCCACCTGTGGACAGAGTCACCCGGTAGCTAATGCCTCATCGTTCCCTCTGCCCTAGGCCTGGTCTCCAAGTCATCTCCTAAGAAACCTCGTGGACGGAACATCTTCAAGGCCTTTTTCTGCTGTTTTCGCGCCCAGCATGTTGGCCAGTCCAGCTCCTCCACTGAGCTCTCCGCATACAAGGAGGAAGCCAACACCATTGCTAAGGTAGCTAGATCAGGGTGGTGGGACGCCAGCAAGGAGGGGACTGCTAGTGCGGGCCCCTGCAGCCATGGCATTTGGGCAAAGGTAGTCCTCCCTGAAGTCTCAAAGACCTCTGGCTCAGAGGCCCCTCCTCTGGCTTTCCTAGAGTGGCCCATTTTCTTTCTCCTGGCTTCCATTTGTGATGTGGGCCATGCAGATATCCCTGTGGTTTCTGAGAGCCCCTCTGGTCCAGATCCTCCCATGTTCCAGGAACCATACAAGGCGCTTTGCATATACTGTCTCATGTGGTGCAACCGGCAGCCCGGCAGGGAGGGTCACAGGCTCTTCCCACTTACACACCTGGAAACAGAGATCCAGAGGGTCTGTGTAGCCCCTGAAGAGTTAGTGGTTAATAAATAGTAAGTAGTATCAGAGTGCAAGTATCAGAGTACAAGCCATCTCTCTGGCTGTGACACCTGTGTTTGTTGTTGTTGTTTACTATGCAAAGCTGTCTTCCAAGTTACTTGACTTCTTGAAATTCTGCCACACTCCAGCACTCTCACCTGTCTTGGGGGGACATTGGGAAATTTATGGGTGTCTTTGAGCCTCCCAGTGAACAGAAGGTATGTCTGGCATTTCAAGGGTGGGCACAGCCCTGACCAAAAACCCATCTGCCCCGAATGCCATTGGTTACTTCTTTCCGAAATAACCAAGGTCTAGCTGTCCGATTCCTCTCTCAAAACCAGGCTGAAGACATGCATCAGTGCATTACTCAGTAGGCGGAAGTGCACTTAAATAAAGTGCAATGTGACAGTATTACTTAGCAATTGGTTCTTACAAAGTTCACAGTAACACGGAAAAAGTATTGAGTCGCAACATTAAGTCTAAAAGCAGAATGTGAAATTACGTATTATGGGGGGAAGGGCTGCTAAAACAGACTTGAAGGAAATACACTAAAATGCCAACGTGAATTTTTTCTAAATGCTAGGATTTTAATGTTTCCTCAAGGTATCACGTTTTACAGTCATAACAACATCTCTATTATTAGCAAAAGGCCAGGGAAGCCTTTCTGACCTTTCTGTACTCCACCCCCCCTCATGTTTCAGGACCCACAGTGTGGGCTCACGTTGGCATACTTGATGTATCCTAGGGGCTCGGCGCCCTCCCCGCACCGTGTGTCACCCCCAGAAGAGAGTATAGAAAACACATGTTCTCAAAGAGAAGCCTGGGTTCCAGGACTCACAAAGACGCTGAACCACCACAGTGAGGAGTTCCGATTTTGGTTGTCTGATTCCCGTGTCCCTGCATCAGCCACTGAGTTCCCTGTCCCTCGGTTTGTCCAACTGAGACACTGCCTTCTCCATCCTTCATCAGACCTGATGTTGAAAGGCAGCTCTGGCCTTTCCCCTTTCCTGTGCAGCTCTTAAGAAAAGTCACTTTTGGGGCACCTGACTGACTTAGTGTCAGAGCATGTGACTCTTGACCTCAGGGTCATGAATTCAAGCCCCATGTTGGGTATAGTGCTTACTTTAAAAAAAAAAAAAAGAGGTGCGCCTGGGTGGCTCAGTGGGTCAAGCGTCTGACTCTTAATTTCGGCTCAGGTCATGATCTCACCGTTGGGAGACTGAGCCCCCGGTAGGACTCTGTGCTGGCCGCAGAGTCTGCTTAAGATTCTCTCTCTGCCCCTCCCCCTACTCATGCACACGCTTGTTCTCTCAGAATAAATGGAAAGGGAAGGAAACAAAAGTCACTTTTGTTATGCCCTACGTTCCAGGGGGCTGGGAACTTGGGGAGAATTTTACCCACCAGGCCTGAGGCGGAAGCAGTGGGCTTCAGGTAGGATGGCATTGGCCGGTCGGTACTGACTGCTTCCTTTCCTCCCACAGTCGGATCTGCTCCACTGTCTCCAGTACCAGTTTTATCAGGTATGGGAATCTGACAGGTACATGCCCAAAAGCCCCAGACCCTGTGATCACATTGGGTGACGCCCTTATTCCTCAGTGCCTGGCTGGCCCCACCCCGGGAAGCCATTTGTCCCAGATATTTGCTGAGGGCCCACTCTGCAAAGACATTAGCTTTTGGGGGGGACAGCTGACATCCGTCCCACAGCCGCCCTGGCCTGCATCTCAGTGTCCAGATCATTCCATAGTCCGGTGGGAGGCTGGAGCCGACGAACCGACTCCATCTTTGTGTACTTCATGGCCTTCAAACGGCACCTCTTCTGGGTCGAACTCGGGGGTCTTCTGTGTTCTCGATGAGCCTGGTTCTTTCCAGAGTTCTGCTGAAGAGAACACTTGGGCTTTCCTGGTGGCAGACCTCGGCAGCCTGGCTCTGGTTTCAGATCCCGGGGACCTGCCTGCTCCCAGAGGTGACAGAGGAAGATCAAGGAAGGATCTGCGTGGTCATCGACTTGGATGAAACCCTTGTGCATAGCTCCTTTAAGGTAACTCCGTATCTGGAGTCCTCCCTACCCCCATCTCGGGCTGTCTTGCCTGTCTAACTGAAGGTGCTCGGAGGCAGCATAAAGTTGATGAGGCAGGGGAGCTGGGTGGGGGATGGGGGCTCTGCCATTTTGGCCACACTGGCATCACACATATTCGGGGGCCACACGGAAGAATGTTGAATAGGAATCCCTGCTCCACCCAGTCACTGCCAACGGGCTTTGTCTGTCACACAGCCCGGAGAACCACCAGAGCTCTGTACAGGGCAGGCCTATATAAGAGGGTTTGAATCAGCCTCGGACCTTGCCCCCCTCCATTTTGTCAGGATGTTCGTTAACTGAAGAAGGTCCTGAAATTCTGTCAGCTCTGGTAAAATTGGGGGTGGTGGCAGTAGGGAAAACCTGGAGGGGATACTGTGCGTGCGTCTTAGTAGGGTGGTGGGAGGAGCTTCCTGGAGTCTCTGAGACCTGTTTCTCCCCGCCCCTCCCAGGGGACAGCGCAGTGGTGCTGTGGCAGGGACCGTGTGCTCACGCGTGTGGGGGTGTGGCCGAGGGTTTTTGTCTCCTTCCTACCATGCTGACCTCATTAACTTTTCTGCTTTCCAGCCAATCAACAACGCCGATTTCATAGTGCCTGTTGAGATTGAGGGGACCACTCACCAGGTGAGCTGCCTGCCAGGCCACAGCCAGCCTAGAGGCCTCAGGGCCTCCACCCCTCTGGTGTGCTCCGTCACTGGTCCCTCTCCTGCAACTTCATTCTCCTTTCTGTATTGGAACCTCTCACACTCCAGGCTTTCTGATCTTAAAAAAAAAAATCCGCTTCTCATCCATCCCCATCCAGCTGTCATCTTTTTTTTGCTTTGAAGCCAAGCTGTTTAAAATTAAAGTATCATTGGGGCGCCTGGGTGGCGCAGTCGGTTAAGCGTCCGACTTCAGCCAGGTCACGATCTCGCGGTCCGTGAGTTCGAGCCCCGCGTCAGGCTCTGGGCTGATGGCTCGGAGCCTGGAGCCTGTTTCCGATTCTGTATCTCCCTCTCTCTCTGCCCCTCCCCCGTTCATGCTCTGTCTCTCTCTGTCCCAAAAATAAAAAAATAAATAAATAAATTAATTAATTAATTAAATTAAGTTAAATTAAAGTATCATTTAATAATAGTAATAGCTGTGATCTACTGAATACCACCTCCTGGCCAAAGTGGCCAGTGCTATTAAACGAGGATACTTCCTCTAATCCTGAAGAGGTGGTGTCTCTGCCTGTTAACAGGCAAGGAAGCCAGTACTAGCTGTTTCCTGTTCTCCCCGGGCCCACCCACTCCTCCTGGCTAAGGAATTTCTTCCTCCCCAGCCCTGGCTTCTCCACTTCCCTCTGTGAAGCTTTTCTACTCCCCCTCCCCTTGGGTCCCTACACTGGATTCTCTCCCGGTAAATGTTATTCAAAGAGCACTTAAATCCAAGTAAGCTTAGGCTCTGGCCCTGCATAGCCTGCTCAGTCCAGGATCATGAGGTGTTGATAGCGAAAAAGCATTTACTCCAAATGCTTGCCCAGAAGGTCTGCTTGCGCGTCAGGAAGCACCAGGAACAACACCCGGGTTGCCCTGATACCTGCTCACGTGGCCTGGTCAAATAGAAGACTTATGTGTAGAGAAGGAGGGGATTGAGGCTTCCCTGCCAAGTCACCACTGTCCTCTGTCCCTTAGAGGCTTTCATCCCTAACACCACCTCTGCCCTTGGACTGGTCAGCCTCTGCCCAGCTACCCTTTACAGTCCATTTGCACATGTGGAGATGTACAAAACCCACAGAGACCAGACGAAGGCATATTTGCAAACGGGCAGATACGCACTGTGAACTCCTGATTAACAAGGAGCAGCATGAATCATGAAAAACAGCTGAGATTCAAATTGGCACGTGGCTACCTGCAGAAGAGGGGCAAGGGGATGCCAGGCTTGATAAACAGCCAGGAAGAGGGAGGGACTTGTTGAAGGTTGAAGAAACGGCAAATCCAGGGGAACCTAGTTGTGGCTGCTCGGAGCCGAGGGTTCCTGTGGCAAAGCCACCGGCGGTGTGGTGAGTCAGTGGCCGGTTTGGGCCACCTCCAAGGAGGGAGAGTCATGGCAGGCACGTGTTCATTGAGCAGGGAGTGCCGTGGATAACAAGAGCATTGAAGCAATGGTTCTGGTAGCATCGAGGCTAGGGGAGAGGGAGATCCCGGAGGCAGGGAAGCGGTAGATGCAGAGCGATGAGGTACATGTGGCCCATGAGCCTTTCAGGCCGAAACGTGCAAGATGATGAAAGGTGGGCATGAGCGTTCGGGGCGGCTGGCTGGAGCAAGCACAGACAGGTGTGGGGCTTGAGCAAGACGCAGAGCATCTGACCTGGTCACTGACAGAGAGAAGTCCCTTCTCCCTGGTGCATTTCAGAGAAGCTGTGTGAGGGCGTGTGGTTTCAGCCTTGGTTTCCACCAAGGCTCGCATGATGGTGACCTGGACAGAGTGTCCCGCCAGAGCCAAGGACAGGAAGCTCCCACAGAGGCTGTGGCTGGATTCAAGTAATCCAGGATAGGCTGTTTCCGTCTGTGAGGCCTATTCTTGATTACTTGTTTCTGGAGGCAGCTGATGGTTCGCCGCCTGAAACAGAGATGGCTTCTGGGACAGAGGCGCGTGCATTTCTTCCTGAGCTGGGTCAAGGTTGGGCTGCTAAGCCCGCAGAAGCTGGGTGAGGAGGTGATACAGTGCCCTTGTGTGTGTGGGGG